AACAGATGTCTCTTGTATCCCCCCTCCCCAAAATAATATATGTATCCTGTGTAATCTATTATCTATCGGTCAGCATAATGACGCAAAAGAATGAATGCTAAGTTGTTTGTCTCTCTGTATAAAAGAAGCTCAGTTGTGCTTGTAAGGTGTGTCTCTTCTGGCATAAGTTGAGGAGCACCCTCTCAGCTGACTGACAAATAAAGGACCTGGTACCCGTCTTCTTGTCTCTCCGTGCCTCCTTGGTAAGCTCCGGGGGGAAACGGGCCTTATTTGGCTAACAACGGCAGTATAAAAACAGATTAGACTAGAAATCATCTTAGCACTACAGAGGCAATGAAGCTATGAATAAGCTGGTTTCTGTTTCCGATTATGCACAGTGAATTGCTAATGGAGCTCCCTTTGTGGAATCTTTATTACTGGCAATGGTACATGAGCCACAACTAGCCCACCGTGTCTCTGAGTCCAGGTTGAAGTTGCAGGCACATCAGTTGGAGAGCAAGAAGCAGCAACTTTTTACTTTTACACTGAGCAAATTCAGTCATTGCAAAAAGCCTGGAAGCCCTCAATGCTAGCTTACAGTCAGTCATTTTTCAGAGTACTGCACTTCAACTAGAACACTAACTACCGAGCAAACACTGCAATCCATCTAGTGAATACAGATTATGTATATGTGCAAAGTATGGTCCTGGTCCTGCTAACACTTAAGCAATTGTTGTGGGCTGGAAACACTATTCATAGATTTTAGGGCCAGAAGGGACCACAGTGATCATCTAGTCTGACCTCCTGTAGAACACAGGACACAGAATTTCACCGAGTAATTTCTGCATCAAACCCATAAGTTCTGTTTGAGCGAGCATGAATTTCAGAAAGATATCCTGTCTCGAAGCATTCTAGACACTATGGACAGATGGCTAGGGTCAGATTCCTAGAGTCACACAATGATGCCAGAAGCTCAGCTTTAACTTTTAAAAATATTAACCTTAATATTTAAAATCAAATTTACATAAGTTTAAGAAAGAAGGTACTGTACATTTGGGGTCAGGCTTCGGTTATGGGGGATTGTAAGTATTGGTTACAAGGTTCATGAGGTACATAGATATCACATACCCAGCATAGACCCAGATTGGGGTGTGGCAGTTGTTAAGGCATCAGTGGATAAGTGGACTCGGGTAAGCCACCCATGGAATGTATTAAGAGTCCAAGTCAGTATCGGTCTAGAGAATAAGTACATGGGTTCATCAGGGAAGGAAGTGGTCGGCGGTCTCGGTTACTCAACCTGGTACTGGCGGTGTCCTGTGATCTGTTATGTGTAGATGTCTCTGGAGCACCTGATGGTGTCAGACATTGTGAGCTGTCTCACGAGCCGGGCGTAGCATCAACCGACTCCACACGCTCTCAGTCCCAGCTCGTCTATCTGATCCTAATGGCCATCATAGCATCTCACATCACTAAGCAGGGTAGATAAAAATCAATGATTTAAAAAAAAAAAGTTTAAAAAAATCCATTTTTTAATTTAAATTGGATTTTTTTGATAAAATGCTTTGTGAGGGAAAAAAAAAAATCTATCTAGAGATTGTTTCAATTAAGGTATCTTTGGGCTATAATGCATCTCATCATGGAATAGGGATTATAAATTCTATAGTATGAGACAATATATTCATGTAATGTTTAAGAAGAGTTCTGTAAAGGAGTTCCAATTGTTTGTGGATTAGGGACCCAATCTTATGGGGTTCCAGGGGCTTCTGTATATATTATTTAGGTTAATCTTTCTATCTACCCTCTGGGAGTCCATATCTTCTAGACTGAGCACTATCAGAGATGCTTAGTTTTGCAAGTCTCAAACTGTAGGTGTGTGTCTCCAGAGATAACATGCTTGTTAACAGCAAAAATGTTTTAAATATATAGAGGTGAGAAATAACAGACCTCAACCTATTGTCCATCTGCAAATTTGTGTACACAGAGTCAATCCCTTACCTCTCTCTAAAAGTGCAAAGTTTCAAAAAGTTCAATGAATAGAAGATTGTTGAGTGGAATAGATCTGGACAAGGAGAAGAAGTCTGGAGATCAATGTGAGAAGTGAGGAACAGGCAGCAGAAACAAAAGTGAAACTGTTTGAGTAGCATATTCCAGAAGTCTTGAGGTCTTTCTGAGTGTAGCCTTCACTGATTTGAGATCTACCATACCATTCTCTCATAGAAGGCTGTAAAAGAGACCCAGTTTGGGAATAAGATGCTGATTATGTTTTAAAGAAAGTCACACCAGTGAACTTGTGGAAGTCACTTAAGCACTTGGATTCAGAGACTGTTAAAGTGATAATCTCACTTTTAACAGCAGTAGCTTCTTCTGCCAGTGTAGAAAGAATATTTTCATTCCAAATTGAGAAATCATTTGGGACCTGAAAAAGCTGGAAAGCTTGTTTTTCTTTTCCAGATTATGAACAAACAGGAAAATGAAGGTGAGGACAACTGAGTTAGCTGGAAAAGCCAATATTTGAAGTTTCTCATGTTGACTTGGCTGACAGTCAATTTTTTTTTTTTTAATATTTCATATAACTATTTTAGTTAACACTGTTAACAAAAAACAAACTTGATTTTAAAAAACTTGAATGTTTAAATTAAAAAAATTCATATAACTTGTTTTGTTAAAATATTATGTTTGCTGTTGAAAGAAAAAAAACCCAGAATACACAACGCTATTTTAGTTAAATAAAACAAAATGTAAATGTGTCTGGTGATGTCATCCTGTATTAGGAGGAGAACAAGAAAATCCTCCAAATATTAATGATTAACTTGTTGAATTGGAGATATTTATGAAGTCATTCGGAGGTGAACTATCTGCTTCAGTTACCTTTAGTAAATGAAATAACCAAACAATCATTCATTTTCTGATATAGCTGTAAAACTAATCTGAAAAGTTTTCAAAATAACACACTTAAAAAATGTACAGTGTGTACCTTCTAAAAATGAAACCTACATCTATCTTTGAGTTGTGAATAATCTGTATTAAGGTTATAACCAACAAGAATGCACTTGTGTAGAAATCCATGATTAAATTGAGTCTTCTTGTCTAGTGATTTAAATCAAATCCACCCTGTCACCAATGGATCTTGTCCTCCCAACACTTCTAAGAGCTACATCCCCATGTCACAGTTGGGAATCTGAGGCACAGGATAGATTAAGTCACTTAACCAAGGTCACACAGGAAGCCAGTGGCTGAGCTAGAAATTCTATGCCAATCTTATTAATTCCAGTCCAATGCCTTAACCAGTAAACTTTGAAAAATGTGACCCAAGTATAACGAATATACTGATGCCTACTCGAGTCAGCAGGCAGCCTGCCACAATAGCTCAGAGAGTGTTGATTTGCGTGGTCACCACTTCAGAGCTTTGCTTCGGCAGTGGCAGCAGGAGTCCACATACACAATATAATTCATGCTTTAACTGTTCTTCCTGCTTTGCTGTGCCTCTTATCATGGCCCCCAAAGTCCCATTAAACTTCACCACTAGGCCATTTGTCTGATGGTGGTAAGGGGTGGTAACCAAGTGGTTCACCCCATGAGCTTCCCAAAGACGTTTCATGGTCCCTGCCAGGAAGTTAGTTCCTGAATTTGTAAGGATGTCAGAGGGCCAGTCTTGTAAATGGTAATAACAGTCCATTTGCAGGAAAAGGGAGGCTAGTTGAAACAAGATGGAGCTGTTGCAATACTTTTCCTTCTAAAGTTTTCTTGGCTGAAGGGAAAGGAACCAGTCAAAGATGTCTGAATTGATACTGGTCACCTCCATCTAAATAGCAATTATCCCAATAAAGAAAAACCTAACACATTAAAGATTTCTGCATTTTTTCCCTTCAGCTTATACATCAAGTTAGTAGAAAAATCAGGAATGAATGTCATAGTAATTTTTTTAAATTCTGCTCACGTTTCTTTTCTTTAGAATTTTTTTTATAAATGTCAAAATTGGAATATTAAATGTCATCAATCAGCTGTAATAATTGGTCAATAAACAAGAAAAAAATTCCAAACATTTCCCCCCCCCTTTTAAAAACTTCAAAATTTTGGGGGTCAATTTCTAAATACAAAAAAATTCAAACCAGTCCTGCTTATAAGGGATGGAACAAGTGAACAGTAAACCGGAGACCCAGTTAATTACAAGTAAATAGGGGGCCAGTTGCCGAATCATTTACTAATTGTCAGGCTTCAGATACAGCAGTTCAACATTAATGAAGGATGTAAACATGCAAACAAGCTGGTAGGCTCAAAAGCAAGGCATGAGAATAAAGTACTGTAGAAGAAAAATCTTCATGTTACAGAAATTTGTGCAAGATCTCAGACTTTTTCAGCAGCCTCTTGTTTTGGGAGACTGCTTAAGTATTCCAAATGTACAGAGCACAGTTCTACTCCACATCCCACTGGTTAAACAACCTAGAGGTATCAGTCCCTTGAATGGAAGCTTAAAAAAAGGTTTCACTGTCTGTTGTGAAATCAGGACTTGAACTGGGCAGCAGCACATGTACTAGCACTCTCCTGAGCTGTCTTTTTGGGTTCCAAAATGTGTGTCTTATGGAGAAGAACACAAGCTTAAGGAGCCTAGCGGAGTCCAGGGGTATATTTGAACCCCAGTTAGGGAGCTGAGCCCAGCAGAGCATGCAAACAGTTCAAACATCTCCACAATCCATTGTGAGTAGCATCTCATTTTGAGGTCTCAAAGGGGTTATTTTGTGGGAGGAGCATGGAAGAGTCCTACCACCATTTTTTTTCCAAGTTAGACCCTTGCCTCCCATCCCTCCCAAATGTATATATAAACACTAGGGTTTCTGGATATTTTGTGTAGCAAAACAAAGGCTCAGTGTGACCTGAGCTAACTTCTTCCATTGTTCATAGATACCATTCTGTTTGCCTGGCAGAGTTTGTGGCGGATGTCAGAGAGAGAAGAAATCAAGACAGCAGAGGGACTGAACAAAGGGAAAGAAGGGAACAGGGAGACTCACCTGGCAAGAGAGGAACAGAGAAAGGGAATAGATGCAAAAGAATTAACTCTTCAGTGAAAAGGAGCCCATGCGGCAAAGTTAGAGACCACAAGGAAACAGGATGAAGACCCGTTCAGAAGAAGAAGAGAATGGGAACAAGGGGGTTCACCCAGCTATGGTGGGAGGGACATGGAATGTGACTCACCCTGAATGCTCAGAAGTAAGTTCTTCTCCACTTGCAGACTTCCCATGCCATTGTACACGATTACTTTGTAATTTCCACTGTCCTCTTCCACCAGACAATCTATTTTCAGGGTTCCATTGGTGAACATCTCATACTTTTTCCTATCCTTGTAATATTTCACATTAGAACCTTTGCCTTTCGTGAGGTGTATTGAATTTTTGAGCCATGTTATTTCCTGTTGCTTTTCCACTTTGAAGTCAGGAATGTTCAAGAAAACAGAACTGTTCTGAATACCATACACTTTAGGGTCTTCGTCTGCAGAACCTTCAAACAGGGGAAAAACAATACAGCCAGATCAGTCTCTGTCCAAAGCATCTATGGATGACAGTTAACAGTAGACACTGCAGCATTAAATAAACTTGGTCAAAGTTAAACTCCCACTTTTCCCAAACCATTCCTCATTAATAAGGGGGGCATTTATATAGCTGCTTTCATCTCAGGCCCTCAAAGCAACTCCCAAACATTAGTTAGTTAAGTCTCCCAACACCCCATTTTAATTCTGAACACAGAGACGTTATGGGCCAAATTTTCAGGGTGTCTTGGTTTCGGAGGTGGTCCTTTTAAGATCCCTTGGGCCTGGTTTTCAAAGGCGCTGAGCAACTGCAGCTCCAAGTCAATAAGGACTGTGAGCGCACATTTCCTCTGCAAATCAGGCTGTGTTGTATGTGCCTCAAGATGGGCACCCACAACTGAGGCAGCCAAAATTACCCAAAACACTTCTGACGATTCAAACCTGTGGCCAAAATTTTTAAGTGACCAGTGATTTTGAGTGCCTCAATTTAAACTTGAGACAGGTTAAAGTGCAGCTGCTCTGCGATTTCTGAAAAATCAGCCTCCTTTAATGTGTCTCAAGTTGAACATTGAAAATCCTTAGTCCCTCTTCAGAAATCTTGGTCTAAGTAACTTCCCTGAGGTCACAGTGAGGCCTGATCTACACTGGGGGGGGAGGGGGGGAAAAAAAAAAAAAAAAAAAAAAAAAAAAAAAAAAA